GTGTCTTCAGCTAACTCGTGTGTGCGCAGTGGGGCATGTTTATGCAGCTCTGCCCTTCCTTAGGAGGAAGTAGGAATGCAAAAAGACTTCAAATACCATATTTTTGCCTATGTGAAGATAATTTTAATATTTGTAATTAAACTTGTGGTGAAACAATATTGAGGCACAGCATACAATTTTCTAAACAAAACTTTTAAAATCTCTCACTGTGCCTAACAAACTAGGATGCATGTTTTGGAAGGAAGATGATAGAATGAGAAAATGCATAGTTAAATCAGAGCTGCATCTCCCTTCCTACTGAGGGGTGATATTATTTTTTTTCTGAGAACCTATACACAGAGGCATTAATTTGAATTACAAAACCTCCTGTGCAGACAAATCATATTAGAGAAATGAATTGATAATGTACATTTGCCCTGATAATACTCTTTTACTGCATTCAGATTGCATTTAAGAAAAAATGAAGTAATGAAAAATAATACTTTCTCCAATAGGAACGTCTGACTGGGGAGAGTGGAAGCCTAATACAGTAGATAACATTTTTGTATAGATTGGGAAATTTGATACTTTTTGTATGACAAAGTGCTAACTTGCCAGATTGGGAAACATTAATGTTACACAAATTAATATAAACCCCCTAATCCTCATCAGATCATGGTAGTGTGCCTTTCTACAGCAGTCAGTGCTGACTCAAAGTCCAACCAGCTTTGCTCTGCCATCACTTTGCTGCCAGCCTGGTTGTGAGTTCTCTCCTTCACACTGGCAGTTAGTTGGACAAGTAGTGCTACCTGAGGATGAGTGGGATTGCACTGTTGGCCTCTCCTCCTCCTCCTCCTCCTGGCAGGTTTGGACTGAGATCCACAGAAGCATGAGCCATTTGGGGATTAATTTGATTAGCACTGCTGAGGCTGACAGATTAGTTGAATGGGTCTGTGAATTCTTTTGCTAAAACCTGTGTAGTTCATCCTCTTGAGTCACCGTGACAGCAAAGCTAAATGGGGAGCAATAGGTATGTGGCCAGATCTGTGAAACAGCAACCATTCCTCAGATATGTATTGCCTAAGTTGATTTATGCTCCTTTTTGTCATAGGAATGTAATCAAACATCTGACTCAGCCAATGCATGTGAGGTCTTTAAAAAGAGAAATCTCTCTTCTTTCAGGCATATCTAATTAACTGTGTATGGAACTGCTATAAATACATCAGCAACAGAAATTTGCCAGAGATCGCTGTGTACCCTGCTTTTGAAGCTCCTCCACAGGTAAAACCTCTGTTTGATATAAAAGGGACCAGCATCATTTAATTAAGTAGAAAATCACCATATCCATGTACGTTTCCAAGCCTTGTGCAGCACCTTTCTAAAGAAAGACTGGAAAGATTAAAAATGCTAAAGCAGCATTTGTGGTGGGTTTTTTCTCAGTTACATTCTTATGCTGCCTAAAATAGGAGGGTTAATAGAGTGAAGTCCTAGAATGTTTTTCTTGTAGTAGAGTGAAGCTTTGATTGCACCAGTCCAAAGCTTTGTTGCTGCTTTGCAAAGCCGGGAGGCAGTGGGGTGGAATGAATGACACAGGGTTAGGCTCAGCAGAGCAATAAACTGCTCCTGCACCTTCTTTCACTTCCTCATTTGCTTACTAGAAACAGCAGTAAGTTCTTAAACTTCTGCCTGCAATAGAGGATTCAGTTGCTGATGGGGCATGTATGTTTTTGTTCTGTTTTTTTCTTATTTTCAAACTTTTTGCACTAATCACTTCAAAATGTCTTCTCCTTAGTATGTTCTGCCAACCTATGAAATGGCAGTGAAGATGCCTGAGAAGGAACCTCCACCTCCCTACATACCTGCCTGAAGCAATTTTTATGTTAATTAACATCTGTACCAGCTTCCTGGGGGTTTTGTCTTTTAATCTTGCAAAACTGCTTAAGTAATAGAAATATTCAGGGCTTTTAGGAGCAAACCGTTCTGTTTTAAAATATGTTTGATATAAACTTACTAAGCAAAACACATCTGAGAGTGATTTTGTTTGCTTTAATTTTTGTTCTCCTTAATGCTCTTAAACATTTTATTGCCTTAGGGCCTTACACTGCAAGAACTTACGCATGTGACTAACTTGTGGCTTTTAATAATACCAACTGAGCCACTCTGAAGTTAGCTGCAATTATAAGTGTCTGCAGGATCGTGCCCTTAATTTATATTAATTTTTTGTAAAGTAGTTCATAAAGACAATCTGATCGTACAGCAAAATGACAGTTTGCCTTTATCCATTTTTTGGAAGGGGAGGGGTTTGAATGTGGTATATACGTGACTTTTTTTTACTTTGCACTTTTCTCATATGTTATCTTACCTTTTATTGTGGTTTTTTTTTGGTTATTCTATGTCTTGAAACATAGTATTTTTGAGGAAGACATGAGATGGCACAGGAGTACTATTACAACGTGCTGTGAATGCAAGAAAAATAAATAGAAATGTGGAAGATGGTTGCATGCTTCTAATCTTCTATGTATTTTCCTCTTTGTGATAAATGATACTTAAATAAATCTTTTACAAAATGTTTACCATAGCCTTGGTTGATCTGTTTGGTGGTGGCTTTTTGTTTAAGTGCTTCAGTATCCTGCAGGTATCCCACATATTTAGTTACGGGTTTAGTGGTTGATCTGTTCTTGAGCAGAAGTCCTCGTATGGGTGGAGAACATGGATTCCCTCCAACACGTAATCCTGTACTAAAGCCTTTGCAGTTCAAGTACTCTTTTCCACTTCTCTGATTGGTACATACACATGAGCTAGGAAAAGGGAATTGTACTGGAGGCTTTTCACCCTCGGGGAAATCTGATGTCTGAAGAGCTCAGGTGTTAAGAACAGGACTGACACCCAGTAGGACTATATATATAGGAAAATATCCAGCATTGTTGGAGATACACCATAATTTCAGTAATGTCCTAAAAAAAGAATTAAACCCAAACAATCTACAAACAGCTTTTCTATTCTTCCTCTTTTGTAACAAGAGGTATAAGGAGGTAAAAGATAATTTAGTGATTTTATTTCTGAATCAAAAAATGGCTTTCTACTTTGGATTAAATTCTGGAAAAAAAGGATTCAAATTGCAACAGGTTGTTGGTTATTCTTTTTAAAGTATGTACCTCTGTACGTGTTTAAAATTGCTCTGTCATGGCTGTGCTTTTGGCAGTAGTTTCTGTAGTTTTCCCTCAGGTGCCCCCTGTGAGAGCACCTTGAACTGCAGTGGTCTGAGACCATCTTGTGCCATTGTTGTGGCAGTGCTCTGCCCTCTCAGTTACCCTGAGGGGGTACCTGGAATGCACCCAGGGCTGAGGGCAGCTGGGCTTGGTTTTCCAGGTTATGAGGAACTGCACTGGATGTGGACTCCCAGAGAGACTCCAAACCCAGGGGATCTTTAGATGCTGACAGACTGCTGAAATGGGACTTTGGCGGGGGGTCAAGCTGAAAGACCATATGAAACCAAAGTGGCCTGGAAAACAGCTGAATCTGTTGAGTGCTACTCAAATACTGATCCCAGAACATGCTCTGCTCTGGATCCATCTGCCCTGAAGGACTGAGTGTGTCTGACCATGAGTGGGCACCAGAGGAACTTGGGTGTGGACAGAGAGCTCCTGCCATGGGGTGGATATTGAGACTTCCCAACTGGGTGGCTGATCATGTGGGTGAGCAGTGTTTGGCAGCAGCAGGCACTGCCTGAAATTTGTCTGGTGTGTGACTGGGCATGTGCTATTGCTCAAAAAACTGCAGCCCCCTATGGGAGAGGAGAGCCATTGTACTCCCCTGGAGCCCTGTCCTGTGGTCTTCCCCTGCATGAAGAGTGGTGGTCCCCCTTCCCTGATGTCGTTTGCAGCCTTTATGAACGCCATGGTGGCCTCTTCTACTGTGCAGTCACGGTAGAACTTGCTGAAGTGAGTCAGTGCCTGCCTCAGACTGCACAGCTGGTGGGTTGGTGGTTCCTCTTCTAAATCGGGCCCTTCCTGTTCCCCTTACCGGAGGTGATGGGAGAGAAGATGGTCCTGCAGTACAACGCAATACAGCTTTGGCAGAGGTGTCTTCTAAAGCGCTGTGCTGGAGATCACGGTGGATTTGTGCCCTGAGCTGTGCTTTCTGTTAAAACTCACTGCAGCTGCCCACAGGAACTGGCAGGATTTCCAGTGCCAGGAACCAGACAAAATGCCCATGGTTTAGATTTGGCAGTAGGGGAGGCAGCTCCTTGTGCCTCGGTGATGCTGCCGTGAGCTTTTTTTTCCACGTTCTTTGCAAATACTGCCATTGGAGACTGAAGTGCAAAGTGAGCCTGGACCAGACACTTCCAGTGGAGGAAGGTCTTGTGGGTTTGTGTCTCAGCTCCCCCTGCTCCCAGGTTTGAACCGCAACGTTGAGCTTTAATCCTCGCCCGGCTGAGCGCCCGCCGGGGCGGAGAAGCGAGAGCTGCCGGCCCTTCCTGGAGAGGAGGCGGCGGGTGCGGCCGATGCCACCGCGGTGTCCCGTCCCCCCTGCCCGTCCTGGCAGCTTTAAAGGCGGTGCTGCAGCGCGGGGCCGGCGGCGGCACCATGGGGCGAGCGCTCGGCATCCTCAGCACCGTGAGCAGAGCGCTCGGCATCCTCGGCTGCTGCCTGGCGTTGGCGCTGCCCGCGGCCTCTCGGGGCTCCGCGCTCCGCCCGCGCCGGCAGCCGCGCCCCGGCGGCCCCTCCGCAGGTACCGCACCCCGGGGGGAACCCCCGAGCCGCTGCCCCGGCCCCGCTCGCTCCGCTCTTCGCTCGCTGCTGCCCCGCTGCCGCTCCGGGCACGGCTCTAAAACCCGCATGGCTCTCCCCTACCTGTGCTCATTTCTCCCAACAACGTTATTTCAGACTGTTGAAAAGCTTTTTTTTTTTTTTTTTCCCTCTTCATCTGTCAAAGGGATTTCTACCTACAAATCCTGCATTTGGTGGTTTTTCTTTGTTTTTTTTTTTTTTTTTTTTTTTTTTTTTTTTTTTTTTTTTTTTTTTTTTTTTTTTTTTTTTTTTTTTTTTTTTTTTTTTTTTTTTTTTTTTTTTTTTTTTTTTTTTTTTTTTTTTTTTTTTTTTTTTTTTTAGGGCAAACCTTGTGTCTTTCTTCATGTCGTAAGCTACGCGTGCACGCGCCAACATTTCTTCGTGTTTTCTCAGCTTCCCAAAGGCAAAACTGAGTTATGTAGAATTATATAGAATATACCTGGATGGGATCCTAGATTTGCTTGGTGTCTGGTCTGTTACTCGGTCCAAAGGCAAAATCAGCTCTGCTGCTGTGCTTCTGATGGAATTTGTGCAATTTGATTTTTTTCCCTCTTTTTTCACTTAACAACAGAAAAAAGTTTTTTAATGCCTTGAAAAAAAGTGCTGGTTTCACCTCTACTTTTAAAAGACTTGTGAAGTGGTTTTTTTTTTTTTTTTTTCCCTTTAAATTTCAGTTGGAATGATGAAAGTGAGCTTGATAGTAGCCAGGAGAAGTGTGTTCGCAAAACAGCTCTCAGGGAGCGAATTCAAACTGAACACCTCATATTTTACTATTTAATGCAATCTTGAGCCAGAATGGCTCTTTTATAGAAAATACTCTGCTTTTGGGTTTTGTGTTTTTCATAACCCAGCTGCAAATCCAACCTTGATGGCATAAACTAAGTACATGGCATGGTCAGTGTCAGGTCAGGGTATCAGGACCGGGAGGGTATGTTTTGGGTGCCTGCTGTCACTGTCTTGGTTGGTTTTTGTCTTCCTAGAAGTGATGCCTGTCTCTGGTCTGAGCTATGGCTTTTCTGTTTCTAGATTTATATTTCAGTGAGGAATGTTGGAACCTAGAAGTAAGTGTATAAACGTCCATTTTTACATGTAAAGTTACTTCATAAGTAATTTTTCTCTATGCTCTAGAAGCCTTAAAACAGTAGCAGCTTCTAAAGAAACCTTTACACAGCACCATTTGTGTCTTTTTTCTGTTGGCCTTTATTTTTTCCTGTGTACTTTGGATTGTGAATTACAAAGAGATAATTCCTATTTAGCAAGCTAAATTGTTACTGTCCTAAAAGATATTAGCATCTGTTCACTGTGTGATCTGGCCAGTTGTTTTGCCATTTTATTTCTTTATCTTTTAAAAAAATGGAATTCAGGTTTTATCTTTACAAAAATAAACAGTAAATACATTTATACATCATTTCTACGTCTCTGCTTTGGCTGTTATATGAAAGCAAAAACCCTTAGTTTCAAGGATAGTTAGACATTTTAAGGGCTCAAATGTGCACCTATCAATGTCCTGTACTTAGAAAAGTTCAATTATTTAATTACATGTCAAAATTAATATTTAGGAATTCCTAAGGTGTTTCTCACTATAATTTTAAGCCTCTTCCTAAAGAATGAAGCATCATTACCTGCTAGGGGTAATTTGCCCTGTCAGCACTCACTCCTCTCGGGTGTAGGAGATGACTGAAGTGTTTCCCTTCCTTCTTGACAGACACCACCTGCAAGAACCGGCCCCTGGACCTCGTCTTCATTGTAGACAGTTCCCGTAGTGTCCGACCTGAAGAGTTTGAGAAAGTGAAAATCTTTCTGTCAGAAATGATTGACACCCTGGACGTTGGGGAAAGGACGACGCGTGTGGCGGTCATGAATTACGCGAGCACCGTCAAGGTGGAGTTCCCCCTCCGGACCTACTTCGACAAAGCCTCTCTGAAGGAGGCTGTGTCTCGCATTGAGCCCTTGTCTGCTGGCACTATGACTGGCCTTGCCATCCAGACTGCTATGGATGAAGTCTTCACCGAGGAAATGGGCACCCGGCCGGCAACCCTCCACATCCCCAAGGTGGTCATTGTTGTGACAGATGGACGGCCACAAGACCAGGTCCAAGATGTGGCAGCGAGTGCCCGGACAGCTGGCATTGAGATCTACGCGGTTGGGGTGGACCGGGCAGACATGCAGTCCCTAAGGATAATGGCCAGCGAGCCACTGGATGAACACGTCTTCTATGTGGAGACCTATGGCGTGATTGAAAAGCTGACATCGAAATTCAGAGACACTTTCTGTGGTAAGTAGGCCAGTCCAGAAGGGTAATTTGGCTCCTTCTGGCTTCTACTGTGGTTTCCCTAAGAAAGAAGTTCTTTTTCAGAAGTGTTATGTATCCCATCTAAATAATTCCTTTGCCATCCATCTGGTAAACAAGCAAACCCTTTTATTCATTGGAGGCCAAATAATGACCTTTCATTTTGAACAGCGACCTTACCATGCAGGTAACAGACCTGACTTGAGTGGACCTCCTTGTGCAGGTGGTCAGATTCAGTGCCAGAGAAATCACAGCAATCTGGGCGGGGGTTGGCTGTGTGTATTTACTGACTTACCAAGAGCACACAGCAGAGCTCTGCAGGCTGCTCATTTCTTTTCCCATCTTGCTGGGAAGCCAGGAGGGTGGGAATGTGGAGCTGAAGGGCTCCTTATAGGTTCAGAGTAGGAAAGTAAGCTAGCAGGTGAACCACCATGCAGGCTTGAGAAATCTGGTGCAGGATGAAGTGCCCAAGCCCAATAGCAGGTCAGCTTGG